TACTATATCTTTTATTATCTTAACTCATTGGTAATTCATATTTTTTTGCCATTCTAGTAATGTAACTCAGTCGAAATTTCGAGGAAATAAGTCGAAATTTCGAGTTACTAAGTCGAAATATCGAGTAACTAAGTCCAAATTTCGAGTTAATAAGTAGCAATTTCGAATTACGAAGTCGCAATTTGGAGTTACAAAGTCGAAATTTAGAGTTACTAAGTCTACATTTCGAGTCACTTAGTCAACATTTCGAGTCACTTAGTCGAAATTTCGGGTAAGTAAGTCGAAATTTCGAGTTAGTAAGACGAAATTTCGATTTACGGAAGCCAAAATTTAGAGATAAGTTACTTGAAATTTCGGGTAAGTTACTCGAAAATTCGAGTAAGTAACTCGAAATTTTGAGTTAATAAAACACACACCTGGCACTAATGCTCTTCCGTATTGTTCTGTATCAGTTGATATAGAAAATAATTTAACATGCATGTATGCGTATATCATAAAGATATACATATCATTTCTGTGGTTGGTAATATTTTCTGACTTGATTTTCGATATCATTTGATTTATTATTGTTTAAACACTTTCTATCTAAAACTATTTCAATAAAGATTATATTTGTGTCTTTTTTAATAAATAAATAAATAAATAGATAGATAAATAAATAAATAAATAAATCTTTATAGGTATGTGAGCAAAGGCATTAATAAATGAATGCCAAAACATCATCATAAGACAGTGAACCTTGTTATGTTTTATGACATCAAACGCACAAATAATTGAACCCTATTTCTGGAAACTTTCATTTATCTCTTAAACGTTTCAAAACGTTAAAAGCATCATTAGCAATTGAAAGTGTAAAAGACCGCTTTTGTTTACGCCCTTTGTCTGTTACAAATCACTTTTACAGATGTTTCCAATGTAAAAGTTCTCCGGTTGATAAGAAGTATACAAAGTACAATAGAAAAGTTTAGAGCATATCAATTTTATTTATAACCTGTCAAAGAATTATGTAAACATAATGGTAAGGACCATTTAGCTAATCAGCAAACAATACTTTTAATTCTCTTGTGTGCAGTGCAGGAACGGTTTAGTCTCACTATAATACTCTAACATACTTGAATCTCTGTTGTAATCTTCGACTTGTAGGAATGAGAGAAAAACACCTGTCTGATGGAGAATACAAAAGTGTGAATGAGATGGAGAATGTCGGACTAAAAATATATAATTGATTTTGAGAAGATCTATCTATCCTTAATTCTCCACTTCGAAATTAACATCCATTGACGCCAACCAAAATATAGAAACGATTTGTTTTTAAAAACAAAAGTTGTTTGTTGGATAGAAAGACAGACAAAATAAAGTCTTTAGATAGCTGACAGCATATCGTTCAACACTATCTGACGAATCTGTTCACCAATTTCAAATCTGAAATGAAGTCTTGATAAAAAAAGGACAAAATAAACAGAGTTTTCCGTTCTTAGATAGTTTGCAAATTGCGAGTTTCAAAGACAGCACTGGTGTATTTAAAGATCTGCAAAACTGTATTAATACAATACAATAGAATTAGATATCTGCATAATGATCTCGAATTCTTACTATAAAATAAATTCTAATTGATACAGTCATATAAAAGCTGCATACATATGAAAATTACACAGGAACTTGTGTAATATTCGTATGAAAACGTTATATTATATAAATATTCAAAACCCAATTAGAACAACAACAAAAATTGTGATAAATGTTGACAAGCAACAACAGCATTTCAATTATGATTGATTTTATACCGTGGCCTTTTAACAGCTATAAAATTGTATTTTAAGTTTTATGCATTTTCATTACGGTTTTCAAATATATCATCAAAAAATATTTTTGAGTAAATTTGATAACCATATAATCAAACCATAAACAACAGCTGTTGAACAGAAATCACAGAGAATGGAAGATCTTTCCCTTTACAAATGGAATATTTTTCAAATATACTTCGTATAATTTACAAAAACAAACTTTATAAGTTTAAACGATGTCAATACTATAATGATTTTTTTTAATGTGTTGTAAAGCTTTACATAAACTTAAGATACTTCTCATCTGAAAATGCAAATTAGAGTTAATCATTTTAACCTAAATCTGATGTAATTGTATTTGTTTGAATTTTTTGGTATTTTAAATCAATATTTTCCCAAACATTTTTGTTCCATTAAATTTTTTTGCTCTTTATTATCTCTTTAAAGAATGCAAGAATCGGAATATGTAGAAGTGAATGGTGGGCCAATATCATCGATACATCGATGAATCGTGATTATTGCCGTCACGATACCGTATCGTGATATAATCCTGAAGTGTCGATACACAGCGTTATATATTTTCAATGTCTGGTTTAAATGTTTGAACAGAAAAGTAGTTTCAAAAACTTGCAATCGTTTTTAATTTGTTTATAACATATTTTAAGTCAGGCAACTTAAGAAATGCTACTCATTTTAAGACCTAAATATAATATTTACGTCAAGATCTAGTCACTGTGATGGTATAACAGATTTTTTAGATATGATACAGTGGATATATTAACTTAGAAAGACATGCGCACATTACAATTGTATCTAAATGTAAGTATCATGATACTGTATCGTGATACAAGGGAACAATGTAAACAAAAAAAGACGACAACAAACAATACTTATTATAATTGACAAGTTGAGTTATTTCGCAGAATTATTTTTATTGTTGTGTAAATGGAGGATAAACATTTGTCAGAAGTGTAAACAAAATATGTTGAAAGAAACCTTATTAATGTAGTATGCCTTATTAATTCACATAGCTTTTGATAGTTAGTACTGGCATGAAACATCAGTAAACATAACAATCGTTTGATAGCACACCGACGTTCATATGTATTAGGTTATATGTTTATGCTATATTTAGACCCCTCACCCTCAAATATGAATAAATAAATATTAATCAAATAATAAAAAATAAAAATAGAAAGACGATGAAATGCTGGTAAAAAGTATTAATAGTTGATCGTTTATCACTATGATGAGTTTTGTCTACATTGTTTTTTATTTATTCTATTCAACTTTACCGACTTGCATTTTCCTGGATATAATTTAGTTACTGGACTCTCATAAATTTTATGGAGAAAAAATATGTTATCAAGATCGTTGCTAGTTTGTTTATTTAGAACAAAAGAACCAAGCACAGTGTAGATATACATATTTAGATTCTTTAGCAGGATAATTTATATTATTTTAATGGATACTAAAGCTGCAACATGTTAGAAGTATTTTCAACAGGTGCAATATTAGTTCGTATTCCTCTGTGTGTGTGTTTATGTATATCATAATTACTTTATTGCGTTTTTCGAATATGTTGTTGTAATATCATTGTTGTGGCATTACATAGTCTAACATTTCTGACACACGTTTATAATTTACGAATTATTCCTTCATAATATCATGATTTAAGTATAAATAATATAACATTTTTTAATGGTCTGTCGACGCCTAATTGTACTAAAATTGAACATGAAAAAATGCCAGAAATGTTTGTGTAAATACTTTCCATCTTCTGTTGTTAATGAAATACAAAACTTCCGTGTAATGTCATTACCCCACATATGTGAATTTAAATAAATCTGAGTTTAAGAGTGTAAGTTACTTCTCGAAAGTATGTGAAATAGTTAATAAATCTGTTTCATAAAATATAGTTCTATAATAGAAAACAATGCAATATTACTTAACGTTAACTATAGAAATTAATATCACCAGAATATAAAAACACTAAGAGCACAAGATACATGCTTCGGTACATACATTGAAAGAAAACATTTCTGACACACCTTTATCCGTGAAATGTGCAGGTATTGTATTTGGAACATAAATAGTAAATTGATTGTTTAAAGGTAGGAAACTCGATTCCGGAACATTTTCTTCTTTGATATATTTTTAGCCATTTTTGAAATATGACTTTTGCCAAAGTTCGTTGCCAAAACAATATTTGTCTATGTAATGCCACAACAATGATAAATTGTTTCTGGAACACTTTGAAAAAGTTTGTTGTAAGAAGAATAAGTCATCTATTTATGTACTCATCAATTTAGCAGGAATGATTGACATTATCTGTGGTAACTTCAAAGTTTAACAGAAGTTTCTTGCTCAACTTACTGTACTCTCTTATAATACGTCAATAAAAAACGAAGTCGAGTAAGAAAAATATCATTTATTTCAATCTATATTTCAACTGCATATTTTTGTTATTAAAGTTTAAGAATCTTACAATCCCAGATTACTCCAGTCACTTTGACTAGATTGAAATTCTGAATGTCCTTATAATTATGAAGTCGTCTTACAGAGTTGACTACAAAATTCGTGTTAGGTGAATTTTAAAAGAATATAACGCTGATTATGTCACTCTGGAATGAAATATACGATATATGGTCAGTACTTGTTTAATTTTAATATAATAACATCTGGTTTAATAATATTTATAGTAATTTAATTTCAGTAAGTGTTCTAGCCTTCCAGTCCCCTCGTTATCATCTTTTATACTTGGTATGGACATTTAAAAAATTCTCACATCCCTGGTTTCCAAACAGCAATTCAATATTGACACAAATAAACGTTACATATGATATATAATGCATAAAAATACCAATTTATCATATAAACATAATATTCATGGTTTTAAATTCTAAGTAAATGTTATAAACTTTTAAATCTGGTCAACATATTTGGAACATACTCACTGATTGATAATTATATTTGTTTTATATCATATTTTTATGTCGACAAGTTTGGAATTCAATTCTAGCGCCAGCGCCAATATTTCAAGAAACATAATATACTACATGTACTATTTGTACTTTCATTATTTACAAAGTATTATTTTTCTTTTCAGTACGATCGTAAAAGTCAATTACAGAGAAAACGATTTACATGATTACATCGGAGCGGTATTATTATTTGATATCGTTTTAATTTGTTTCTGGTTTATTTGTTCAGCAATCACATCTAGGAACTTCCATTACTCCACTCGAATAATATAAATTTTTCATTTATAAACTTCCTTTACGTAGAGGGTTTTCCACGCTTTACCTTATGAGCACAGTTTTGCGTTTTAGCACTGCACTGTTTTCGTTAATTGAATATCTTAAAACTTTTATTGAACAGTTTAAAGCTGGTCGGATTTTTCTTATTCTGTGCTTTGTCTTCTTTCTTTTCCGTACTACTTCTTGGCGAGCGTGGCCTATTTCTTTGCATAGAGTGATATTTGTCCTCCGTTATAAACAATGGTGAATAAGTTAGACTTCGTTCTCCTCGTTGCCGTTGTATTGAATGTACAAGTCCATAGAAAATGTCTTCTACATATTCATACTCCTCAGCTGCCGAACACTCGTAAAATATACCATCGTATTCACACGATAATGTTTGTCCATCAGCTTTACTAATTTGTCTGTAAAAAGGTAGTATCATTAGTTTTAGATCATATTATTTGTTGTAATATACATGTACTAAAACATATATTTTTATGTAGTTGAAGTCAATCACTCTAATATAATTATATTTACACGAAATTGTGAACTTAATGAAAGAAAAAAAACTACTGGAAGTAAAACATAAGCGCATTTAATTAGTGTCAAAATATGCAAAAATGTGATAGCTGAACGATAATTTACTTTAAGTTGAAAGTTGATAGTGAATAACGTAGGATGAAGTACTAAATTGTTAATATTATATATGTGTCATTTTTTTCAGTGGTCTTTTACATTCGGATATTCTCGTGTCAACCTATAACATGTCAAATACAAGTATTTCATTGTAAAGCCAACACATATTAACAGATTTTGGTACATATGTTGCTTATAAATTTTGCATTCAAAAGCATGAAAACGTTTCCCTCTAACAAAATGTTCACATTCTGTTCCATGTGATTATTATATAATGATCTTTCAACTCTTAAAAACTTGCATTCGCTATCATGGAGATGAAATAAAAGTTAATAATTATCAGAAGTTTGTGTCTATTCAATATTGTATTTTACTATGAAGTATAGTACCTGTAACGCTCGAGATCACTTTTATTGCCTACGAGGGCAATAGGGCAATCTTTGTTGGAGATACGTAAATGTTCAGAGACTTTCTGCAGGTACTGCCGAGCTATCTCAAAACTAGGTCTATCTGTTATACTGTACACAACAATAAACGCGTCCGCCCATCTCAAATATCTCTGACTGTTAGAATCATCCTGAAATTGTGATTGATAATATTACACACTTACAGCTCTTATCATTAAATAATGGAGCGTATGGTTTTAGTAAAGTCTACAACATCATCATTATTGCACATTTAAATTGGTCTAAATTGTTTATTTGTATTATGTACATTTT